AATACACAATATGTAGTTTTAAAGGGACGCTGTGACCACATGTACTGTCTCGATTAACTAACGTACACTGTAGCAAATTTGAATTCAGCAGAATGTATTTAGTAATGATTAATTTAATATTAGAGTAAACTAACTTATTATTGGACTTAAAGATAAAAACATAATCTAGGATATTACGTAGGTTTTTATTGATATTTTAATTTTAAAATGGGTTATGAGGATTTTAATGTTTTAATATATTACATAGCTATAACTTACTTTAAAATTAAAATATCAATAAAATCCTACGTAATGTTCTAGATAATATTCTTACCTTTATGTTTGATAATAGATCAATTGACTGCTGATATTAAAGTTAACAACATAAAATAAATTCTGCTGAACGAAAATTTGCCATATTCTACGTTAGTAAGCCGGAGACAACACATGTGAATACGACGTTTTCTTAAAAGAGTAATATTTTTTTTAAATAATACATTTCGATTTATTTAAGCGATTAATCAGTATAATTATTGTTTTTTTTTTTACGTTAAAATTAAACGATATTTAAATGCAGGTGTTATAAATCATAACGTATGGTATTAATTAAATTTACTGTGCTTTTATAGTATACGCTCATGATATTATACTATCCGCCATCGTGTAAACCACCCGCTGACCACTAAATAGGTAACGTTTTCACGTAATAATATAACCTAATAAATGTAATAAAAATTAGACACAAGACAGTGTCATTTCAAAACAACACGTCTGCATGGTCTACGTGTATAGGTCGTACACGCTTCTAAATGTGAAAGACGGTTGTCGTTGGGAATGTTGAAATTATCATAATATTTAATTTCGTTTACGTGTCGATGGTGCGCGCTCGTGTCGGTTATTATTAATATTCATGAACGACGTTTACGACGTGAGCGTTCACAGTGTAGGGTGGAGGAGTTTATGCGGACAGGTGTATATTTTTATTATTTCTACACTATACATTATAATGCAACATAAGTAATTCATTACATTATATTCGTCCGTACGTTACATATAGCATGATCCAGCAGGCCTTCGAGACAAGCAGACCACCACTAAACGGTATCATAAAGACGGCACGAGCCTAAATATAATATAATATATTAATATGTACTATGTAGGTATACAGCGGGCGCGAGCGTGTTTTTAATGTTTGATAAAAAATAAAAAATGAATAATTAACACCTGCTATTTATAATGTTTATAATAATTAGGACAAAGGGTTAGGTATTAACGATAATCGTATTTATAGCTTAAAAACCCTAACGCTCATACAGTAAGTAAGTACTTCTCCCATGTAATAATATTAAATACCTACTGTTTCTACTGCACTACAAAGCATTACAGAATTGATTGTTCTAATTCTTCAATAATCTGTAGGTATTTAATATTAGTTTCAATTCAGGAATTTTCACTACCCAACTCTATAATAATATATAGCAAATACTGTACAGTAAGTATATGTATCTACTATCTTTTATAACTATAAATCTGACGAACTTAATTTACATTTATCTATTATAGTGTACCTACATAATGTAATACACGCAATACTACGGCGCATACGTATTATTATTATTATATTATTGTTTAAACAATAATATGTGGAATGTGATTACCCATATACTTTAAGAGAGTAAAAATGTGCAGATATTTTAGGGGCAAATAAATACTGTACACAACAGCACCGTGCGTAATTAAGAGAGTATCGATATTAATATGTATAGAGAGGTAAAACAAATAGAAAAAATAAAATAAATAAATCCTATTCCGATTTCAGGGTTTGTAGTGAGTAACCAAGAGGGTTGTATTATACCGTGCGTTCAAAAAAGTAACGCGACTACAACGGCAAAACAATATAACGTTACAACATCATACATAATGTCGAACCCGAGGGATTTGGCCAGTTATATTTATGTATACCCTCGCCGTCGAACGGTTCGCCAATCATTATGTTAAATAAAATACATGTTTGTTTTTAATGTAATAAATGCGAATTACTGGATATTTTCTGTGTTTGTTTAAAGAGGTATAAACGGGTTTTACGCTTTTCCAAACAACTAATCAGCTTAAACGCTTGCTGCCGTCGTTGCTGAGTCAAATTGGGGGGAGAGAGAAAAAATAAATAAAATAGAGACACGGTCGACGGTGACTGCAATTTGTCAAAGTTCTAAAAAATAAAAATAAACAGACGATTAATAATAAACACTGCCGGTTTCGGGAGAGGGTGACGAATCGAAATGAACTTGAAACACATTTACTACGGCTCATCATATGCGCATATAAAAGGTTATAATATGCTCTACGAAATTATTTTTTTAAATTTAGACCCATTTTTTTTAAGTTATTATTTTATAGTTGAGTGTCGAATAATTTAAATTAAGCTTTTAGAAGTACAAAAATGTACAATCATAATATAAACGAATAAAAAATATAAATATATTATATCATAATAATATACACAGTACACATGATGTACAGATTTGATTGTATATAATGGTTCAAATTTATTTTATACCTATTCATATATTACAAGTTGTTATCTTGATTATATTTCTTAATTTATTATTCAAATTTATAAAATATCAAAAATTATCAAATTTCGTCGTATTCGATAACGACACTTTTTACATTTGTATAGGAATGGAATTGGAATAGTATTACTGAAGAGTGAAGGTTAACTAGATTTGCATTTAATACTTCTGATTAAAAGTGGTGAAATTGATATGGTCATATGGACAATAGACAAATTGAATTCCATGTTTGTACAAAAGTATTTTATTAATGACAAGTCAAGTTCAGTCGATTGAATAAAATTATAAAGATATATTCGATTCTTTCAATATTTGATTAAAAATTCAAAAATCCAACGACCAGATTTATTTTATTTGATGTTGTTATTTATTAAATATCTTTATATGGATAGTTCTTACTATGAGATGTTGTTAGCAAGAAGGTATTATTGCTATATGATTTTTTTATATTTAAATAAATCTATACGATATTTTTTTTCAATTTTGTTTAATTCCTTGTATTTTGTAATTCACGTTTTTATATTAAGTAGACACTGCTGTAATTTGTATTTACTTATATTTTTTAATTTAAGAGATGCATTTTTCTATTAATTTATTTTAGTAGTCTAATTTTTATTCCTGACAATCTTTTTTGACGTCAGATTAGGTAGGTCAGGTATTCCATATTCATGATGATTGTTTTTTAGTGAAACACTCTTGATACTTTCGTTCATATAATTAAAATATACATCAATTATTCTACTAAATTATATATTTTATGTGAAATATTAAATAATAAACATAATATATTTTGATCATATAAATAATCTATTACATTATGTAAGTTGTACAAGGTATATAAGTTTAATAAATTGTGTGAAAATACCATACATTTGACATAATATTACAGTTAGCACGCGTAAGAATTAATTGTATAATAACTAGTATTATGTGGAATATATGTACCTATATAATTATAATATGTAATTATTTGTATACTATTATACAGTGTCGTGTTTCACATATAAATCAACTGATAGTCTCTAGTTCCATTTCAATAATATTATTTTGTACTAGGCGTACGAGTTAAAGAAATTTAAATTTATAAGCTAAGTTTGTCTGATTCTTGATAGCTACCCAGTAGGTAGACATTTAACAATGCCTCTGGCAACGATTTACTCGTATAGCAAACTATCATTAATATTCTAATATTCAATCTATAAATTGAAGCAATCAAACAATAATGAATAAATATATTATATTAGGTCCATGTTAATTATGGTAATAAATAATAATTATTATGATATTATTATGCATATAGCAATAATATAATAATATTATTTGATTCTTTATAAGCTAAATATATGTATGTGCATGCGTGTTGTTTGCTCGTAAGTTGATAATATATTATTTGTAGTATTTACAAGTATTAAATTTTAATTTCAATGTAAATTTGAATCAAAGCAAATCGATTTCTCTTTATCTATTTGTAAGACTTATCAATTTACAAAACATAATTCCCAGGTCACAATAATTATGTAAGTACATAATACATCAGGTAGGTGGCTGTTGATGTTTTATGGTTATCTTGCAACAATGATAAATAATTCTGACTTCTTTAAGTTTTCACGAATCGATCGCGATTTCGCGATTTATGACTTGAGGTTTTTACTTAAGCAAACATACTCGTGGACGTTTACAACACGTAACAGATAAAAATCATATTATGCACGGTCGTTCGTCATCATACATTGCAGACTGCAGTTATCGTCGTCTTCGGGGTTGGTGAACGACATTGCGCGGTTCGCTTACGACGTTTTCCGCAACATTTAAATCGGTTTCGAACAACTTCTTCGTAGCGGTTTTCCAACAGAGAAGTCACGACATCAAACAACGTTTCGGCGGCGAACACCGTATTTTCAGTACGTAAACATTGACAAGTATATTATTATTATTATTATTACTGTCACCGACGCCGCCGGGTTCGCGCGCGGTGCTGTTCGCGGAAGCGCGCTACTCGCGCAATCGATATACACACCGAGTCCGCCGCGCGCGCGCTCGCCCGAGCTCAGAGCGACCGGATACGCGTACGAGCGAGCGACGCGGCGGACGGCGCGCGGCGGCGACGTCGTCTCCGGGCAGAAGTGTGGGCGGCAGCGGTGGGGTCTCCGGCTTACTAGGGGACGCGGAGGGGCGTGGTCCATTTCTCCCGTACACTCCTCCACTCTATACGCGCATCGCTCGCACGAGAGTACGCGCGTGCGGTGCGCGCGAGTATTCCCGGCGCGCGCGCGCGCGCGTTACACGCCGTCCACGGCACTCCCACCCACGTCTCACCCCCGGCGAACGCGTCCACCCACTAACACGATATTATTATTGTTATTGCATATATTATATTATAATCCGTCACCGACCGCGTTATTTTCGCTCTTGTACCCGCTCGCCCTGCTGTACGCACGACGACGGCGATCGCGACCGCGCCGTCGCGGCCTGCGCCTCTGGGGCGACGCCGCCGCCGGGTTTCCGTCCGCTTCATACCCGTATTAAACGGCGTACGCGCGCGAGCGTCATCTGATGATTCGCGTTTTTCTCAGTGAACCGCCACCGCCGCCGCCGCCGCCGATATATCCTCGTGGTGTGGGTGCCGCCGCCAACTTCGGTATTCGCTTTTTCTGCTTCGCTGCAGTGACGGTCTCCGAAGCCGCCTCGGCAATCGTTCTCTCCGCCGGCCGTCGCGCGTATGCCTTAAAATATTACAGCGACAGTAAATATCTAATGATATTACCGTAATCGCAGTATTGCATTCGCGGGCCGTCCGTGTGTGTGTTGGCCGACCACGAAATCGGTTACACACTATTATTACGCTCCGAAGTCGACGTCCGCGATAGTCGTCTTCGACGTCGTTGTCGCAGCCGCGGCCGCCGCCGCCGCCACCTCAGCAGCCGTCGCGTCGTCGGTACAGTGCGAATCGCGCGCGCGCACAGTCCGTTGTCGTAGGTGGATGAGCGCGCACGGACGGCGCGTACTATCGCCGCCGCCGCCGCTGCCGCCGCCGTATTGACAAACACACAAGGATAATGTGGTAATGTTATATATTATTATTATATTTTAATCTAACTCATAGAGTTGTATCGCTGTTAGTAAATATATTCGAATATATGCTTGGGTGTAATGTTTTAAACGTTCCGGTTAGGTGACGTACTGAAAAGTCGCGTTTTTATGTTTAAAATTACTTGTTTCGCCCATCGCTGCTTAATAATAAGGACGTGTTATCGAAATGTACGGCAAGAGATCTACGGGTACGACAGGATATCCGAGTATCCTCGAGCGTTACAGTATATGTTATAATGTCTTATTAGTTATTTGGGTTTTCGATGGTTCGGTGTGCCGTGTCGTGTTATGCGTTATATAATGCGCCAGTGGTCTTCTTTTAAATTTAATGTTTTAAAGTAGTATTATAGATCTACGCTACCTAGGCTTTTAATAATATATAAATGTATTCGTAACACTATAAGGATACTCTCGCGATAATATTAAATTATTTTAAACAATCAGACTTTATAATTGTATTATGTGAATATAGATAACATTATGATCGATTGTATGGAACATTTCATTATTGTGTTTAAAATTTTGATTTTTTCCCATCGCTATTCACTATAACTATATTATGTGTTATCGCTACTCCTAGTTTTGCAAGTGTATGGATCAAGACAGCTTTGTGGTGAGTCTCTGTAAGCCTTTGTGCATTTTTTATTTGGGTCTTTGTTGTCGTGTCGTGTATGCGTTTTAGTAAATGAAAGTGAGTTATTAAGAATTAAATTATGTTAGTTAAATTTAAATATTCATGATTTTATTCTAGCAGACTATCCAAAATATTAAATGCATAAAATTATTATCATATCCACACGACCATGTCATAAATATATCATGTATTATATGTGCGTATACACAAAATTATTTAAAGTGTTTATAATTTCCTTTTTATAATTAAGCCATAAAGTTATATTGTTGTATTAAATTACGATTTTATTTTAACTTAATTTTTTATTATTTAAATTAGGTTATATAGTATATATACACGTATTATATTATATGCTATTTATAACATATTCAATTAGATTCATTGTTCATTTTAAACTATTAAGAATATAATAGATATTATACGAGTAAGTATACTGCAGGTGATTGAAAGATGTATTCAATAGCGATTGTAAATATTTCAGTACATATTTTTGTAGTTATTGTTTATAGTATACATACTCTTCAGTTAATAAAAATTAATAAATTACTTTTTAATTTATGTTTTATTTTGAATACGATGAAATGAAACATATTGAATTTTTCATCCCCACTGCACATATTATATTAATCACGGATCAATCTTTACGCTTCATACGAAAAACAAATCTAAATCACGAATAGTATATGGCTACACTTACACTAGTAAATCCATTATAAATAAAAGTCTCCCTCGCCCTAGCCAGATTATATAAACTTATAAATATATTTATTTTATTTTATTAAACTACCATACTATATAATTGACGTAATTTTAACAGGGCGGTTTTTCCACGCCCTTTTTACAATATATTATAATCATTGTTCGCTTGATCAAATTTATTTGTTCTAACTTTAATAAGAAAAGGAAAATGTTTAGAAAAGTAATTTTTTTTAAACCTATGTAAATATACATAAACAATTTTTATTTAAATATAATTAAAAATAATATATTTAGTGATGGTTAATTTGTAGATATTCACCAAATTTATCTATAAATTATAATTTATTTTTATTGTAGTTGATTATAAAAATTATAAAATTAATAAAATAATAAAGTAACGATTTAGTACAATGATTATGCCGGTAGTTTTGTACATCTATGTTTAATATATTATTATAATATATGTATATTATTAAATAGTAAATACATAATATATAATGTATATCATAGCCAAATAACCATGCAGTATATAGATGGCTTTAACAAATAATAAATAAATATAAAAACTTTAAATTTATGAATTTTATGAAATTTAATATATATCATGTAAACCTATGAAATTTATTATACTCATTAAATTTGATTTTCAAAGTTAACTTTTTATACACTCTATCGTTAAATTCTTATTAATTACTTAAATTGTATTGGCTTTAGGTAACATTTAAGTTTTAAAAATTATAATTATTAATATAATAAATTGAAAATGAATATAACCAAATTTTTTTTTTATATAATTTCATGAAGAAAATGTGACTTTTTAGTCACATGAAGAATATCTTCAGATGTTTGTTTTTATTAAGGTCTATTTTTTTTAAACATAAAATTAAATATATGTTTAATGAAAAATAAATAAATTTCAAAAAATTATAATACACACTCACCTATATTATTATTTTATTTAAACATAAACATAATTTTAAAATAATTATGCTCTTTTAGTAATAATAAATTATGAATCAATTGTTATTAAATGATAGATATTATGTCTGTTAGACTATTAAAGAAGTTTCTTGTTTTATAATTTTGTTTATTGTACATTCATTACACATATTTCATGAATATGTTGATCACAATAATAATTATTACCAGTGATACAGTGTTAGGTACAGAATTATAGTATAAGGATATATCATACAGATCTGATCGCCTCCCTCCTTTGACCCTTCTTAATCAAAACTTTTTAAAATTACTTATTTGTTTTTATAATAATTTAAATTCTATTGCTAAGTTGCATAAGAAATTAATTATTTTAATAGTTCACTAAAATTTAATGGACCAATAATGAGTCATTAAATAATAAATAAAAGATCATTTGTTTCGCTGTTAATTTATTATATGTTTAGTAATTGTGTATGTAATCCAACATTAAAAAATTAACATAAGCGCATACTTAAATATTATGGAAAACTTTGATTACATAACAATTTGATGATATAGGGTATTTAAAAAATTACTGTAAAATTGCAAGAATTTAGTATTTGTTTTCTTTTCCTTATAGATAAGACGACGTGTTGCGATGTGATCATGGTAGATCACGTACATCGTGATCAGTGATACATGATTACTATACTTAGTTCAAATAACCCATTATAGGATTTAAATTATTGGTAAATTAGCCATCGTATTATGGAATATCATATAAAAAAAGTATGTACAAATTATACAAGTTACTGTGTGGCCAACCGTTTAAGATAGCATAAAAAAAAATGAATGCACTTACTATGCGGATAGTGGATAACAATTATCTCTATGTAGTTAAAACATTTTAAATTAACTAGTATAATAAAAAAATATGTCGATACATAACTATATTATCATTGTAATTTATATAAATAAAATAATTCAAATTTCTACGTTAAAATATTAAATGAAACATGTTTTATTTTTGACGGAATATTCAAATTATAAATTATTATTATTATGATTGTTTTATGGGCATGATTTAAAATATATTAGTTGTATAAATTGTCTTCATATGGACCTTTGATGATACTATAAATTTTAATAACTATTATAAAATATGTAAAATTAATGAGAAATGAGCATTATTGATGACATTAGGTAAAACATAGATTAATAAATTTTATTGATTATGAAATAAAGTATATACTTTTATTTTCTAATCAAATTAAATTGACAAAAACAAACATAAATTGTATACTTAATACATAACAATTCATGATCCACAAACTGTTTATTATTTTGGTATTAAAAAATTGTTAAAAATAATATAATATATTTCTAGATCATGATAATTTTTTTCTAAACCATATCAAGTGATTGCAATAATTAAAAAGATTGATGTTATTATATGTATAGTTTTGATTCCAATTTTCAGAACGATTATAAGTATATTTGGTTATTATTATTCAAGATGATTGGATTAGGTTAGGCATTATTGGAATGTACGAATACGGAGGACTACGACTTTAATGATTTAAACAGTGAACAATTCTTATGCAAAATGTTTTGCAGACTTCCGTTTGACATTTTTATTGGGAGGACCTAGCCCAGTGGTCTGAATAACAATAATATGGCCACCGCTTTTCAGGTGACTTTGACATTTTGTGACCCAAAAATCCGGTTATGGTAGGTAAAGAGGAGAAGGCAGCGTGCGTCATCGAATTTACTTCACTTTTTTTTACCCGTTCACCTCCTCTGACCATCCTTAAAGAATTTTTTCCACATAAAACGTACATGCTACAGATAGATTTTTACTTTGCGACGAATTTTCCAAATAAGTCGAAACCGGTCGTCCCACAGGAATTTCAACCGTATTGCAACAATGGCTTTTATTGGCTAAGACAGGTTCTTTCTGTGCTCGGTATATAAACCGAGCGGTCATTTCACCTGCAAAGTATTTTTATTATATTATGTGTGTGTATATGAACATTGGACATGTGTGTGAGCGCGAGTGTGCGCGCGCGCGCGTTTTATTTTTTTATAATACCCTGCTATAACAAAACGCGCCGCGCCGCCACTCGAATATATATTTTATATGTTTAAATGGGATCATAAAAAAAAGTAGAGCTTGTCGAGAAAACAATAAACAACTACAGCAGCAATCGGTTATAAATTGTGGCAATTTACCACAGCAAAAGTATTATTATTATGCGTGTACGATTAGACCGCAACGACGACAACGGTACTTGATATACAAGATAACAAACGGACCTATACAAATAAGAGTGCCCACACACACACACACACACACACACACGTCTTAGAAAAGTATAATAATATTGTATGCATAGGCACAAAATTGAAAATGTCTTCTTTTTTAAAATATTTACAGTTACAAATTGTGATCACAATATATAAAAAATATATTTCGTCACTTGTTAAGAAATCACCTATGATCAGTCGGTACAGTTAAATTAAAGCTTGTTTATGGCCTTTCTATGCATACCAAACATGATTTGAAAAAAAAAAAGTTGACAAAAACATAATAGTGATTTTAAATGTATATTATATACTTACCGGTTACAACTATAACTTCACATCAATGCCGAATTTATAATATATAAACATATCACAATAGAAGCAATAATTTAAAACAATGTAAAATATTGTATTGATGTAAGTTTTAAATTAATGTGAAGTTTAATAATTAGATTTTAAACATAATTTATTTATTTTTTTAATTTAAAATATTATTTTTACATTTTAACAATTTCAAGTTCAATTTATACCCAGACAAACGTGTCTGAGTGTTTTATATGCAATATTAAGCACTACTGTGAAACGGCCTTTAGAAAACTATATTTTTATTTTAAATCGATTTGTGTATAAGTTATCTAAAATTATTATTGTTTTAGTATAAAAATTATTGTTCTTAATATAGATTTAATATTAATTTTGATTTCTAAAAAGATTTTAACGATTTTTATTGATTTTGAAATTGATTTCAAACCCTGCAAACTTGAATCATCAAATAGAAAATATGGTCTCATAGGAGTAAAAAAAAAATCATCTTTTCCATTCATAGCGTTTTTGCGGGATCATTAACGGTGTTATTTATAGCCGGCTTCAGTAGTTTTTAAAGCTAACAGGTTCTTGTTTATGGTGGGAGGGGGGGTGGTAAGAAACACTATACCATAATGTCAAATTACTATAACGCCCCGCCACACGACGGAAGGATGATAATTAATTTTTTTTATAAGTCGCAGTTATAATTTTTTTAAACACTTTCTACGAAATGATACGTGTAATTAGAGGAAGGTCTAGCAATTGGTGTTACAGTTTTTTTGAATCGTGGCCAGAAAAGAGCACGAATAGGTAGATGTTGTGGGAGTGGGGAAGGGACAAAAAACATTTGAAGATCTAGATTAAATAACCCGTCACTGTCAGAGCTCTAATTAAAAGAGATGTAAAAAAAACATGTTTGTTATACATTCATAACTTTTACTACTTAAGTGATGTGTGTATGCTTTAAAATAAAATAATTTTATTAAACCGGGAAAAATAAAAAATATTGTTAAATATTAGTGAAATTCTGTCAATCAATGATGTATATTTTATGAAGTACTAAACGTCGAAAATTATTTTTACACGATAATATTATTATATTGTTCGTTATAAGTGTACGTATGTTATACATATTAACTTATAATGTTATTATAATATTACATATTTTGTTTTATTAGTTTTTACTCAAGTTTAGAAAAATGACTAACTGTGTTTGAATATAATTATTATGAATTTACACGGTCACCTTTTTTCTATTTCAATCGATAGCGATATTTTTTTCAATGTTTTCCATAAAGTTAAATAATTTTGAGTGTTTATTATAGCTTTTTTATACTAAATAATTCAAATTTTGGAATCAAGCCATTCCAACTAAATTGTTTTATTTGATTAAATATGTACTAACAACTCGAACAAATTGATGAGTAAATCGCGTATTATAGAATGCACTTTTCTGGTTTAAATATAAACACTTATGTTTAATCAACTTCAACGTCGTGACAAGTGTTCGTATTCATTACGAAAATTGGCAATTACAACAAGATTGTCTCTTTTAATAGTTACTAGTTTACCTAACATTCCGAACAAACTATTTTACATACTAAATAACTATAATATGTGTTGAACTATATTGTTGAAGCCAAGGGTGTTCAACTTTTTAGAATTCTTACGACACATAGAATAAGTAAAAGTTGTCATGAGCTACATTTATTTTTTAATTAATGCAAAAAGCAAAAATATATAATCCTTTTTAAATACAATATTATATTTTATAATTACAATATACTAATATAATAATATAAAAGAAGTAGGTATCTAAATTTTACTTTTAATGTGCTATTTTTTCTGTATATTTATTACTTAGTATAACAATTTTTCTCATAAATATAATTTATACCTATTATAGTTATTAATGATATTGAAATGGACATGTGAGACGTAGGTTAGAAACTTCTGGTCTCAGCCTGTTTGGATTTCTTTCCAGAGTAGTAAAACATTAAATTCAGCAGACACCAAGATGATAAAAATATTAAAAATCATATCACAATAAATTATTTTAAATTATAATATTTAAATAACTTATTTTACTAAATAATAATAATATGTATTTAAAAACGCATAACTACTACAATATAACCCTTTACACAACCTATTTTTACAGGTCATGTTCTGTAAGTTGATATGCTGAAGGATATTCACAGTCCAGGATTGGCAGCCGATCCAGAGGACGGCAGCAACGGAGCTTGTTGCGCCGGTTGCGGTAGATCCATAGACGATCGTTTCTACCTGTCTGCAGTGGACATGTGTTGGCACATTGGGTGTTTACAATGTGCCGAATGTAAACTACCACTAGACACAGAACTAACGTGTTACTCGAGACACGGCAACATCTATTGCAAACAAGATTATTACAGGTAATATTACTGAATGGAGGAGAGTATCTAATACATTTTGTGATTCTTTCAATAACCTAAATATTTGTATAATAATCTATTTGATAGTTTATATAATGGAATTTTTCGTATCATTCATTGGCGTACTTATGAGAAAATTAGCATACCATGTATTACATAGGTATCCCCTTCACATTTTGCTTGTTTTAAATTAAAATATTATAAATATGAGACATATTTTATAATAATTGGCTTAATTTTTTTTTTTTTTTAAATAAAACGTTATGTAAATTTCCTTGAAAATTATTTTTGAGTTTATGATTTTATACCAATTTAGTTTTCTATATAACATTTATTATACTTAATAGTAATAAATAGGTAAAAACTAATAATATTAACCATCAAAACAATAATGAATAGATGAACAATAATTGAGGTATTACCACCTATTCTAGTACCATAAAATTGTTTTTTAAATTTACAAAATTATCGAATAAATAATAATTAGGTATAATAAAACATTGCATTGGTATAGGTTATACCTATATCATTTATTTTTTTTAACCTTAAATGTCAAGATCAGGCTAAATAAAATAATTATATAATAGAATACTAGTTTAAAACAAATTAATTTGATTAAGACTAAACATCGCAGTGAGATAAACAAAGAATTTGTATGTAAATTCCTAAAGTCAAGTCATTATGTTTAAAACTATTTTCAGTCGTAACTACACGATTTCTGAATTCAATTAAGTGTAGGGGGAATTGTTCAACAGCAACGCGAACGCCCTAATTTACTCGCATGATGACTGCAGGTTCCGGTTGAATTCTGACCTACGACATGGGGGAACAAATACCCCAGTAATTATTAGTTTATAAAAATATGGTAAACGATAGTAACAAAACAAATCTAATTTAAGAAGACAAAAGAATAATTGTTGCGTTTCATCATGATATACAAACGGTGTAATATATCTATATAGATACGATTTCAAAATCTCAACAATAGTAGAATAAAAATGCATTTTTTTATGGATTTTTTGAATAAGCACTTAAATCTATATTAATTCATAATTGTATTAGTACGTACAAGTGTAATGTATTATTTCAGAACAAACTAATTTTATGGATTTATTTTAAGCCAATAATATGGAATCTGATTTTCTGTCAATATGATGTGAATAATTGTACGCACGTGCGTATCACGTTTGAGTTGATGAAGTACAAGGATTAAATAATATTATGAGGGGAGAGAATAGGTACTACAAAGCCTATTGAAATGAATTGTGCGAGTGTGTTATAATATTGAAGGAGTCGCGCCTTCGTGATAAAATATTCAATATTTTATTTCATATTTTTCTGCTTTGTACTCATTTATAATAATAAATTATGTATAAAATGTATAATAATAAGCAAATAAAATGTATCCATCCCAGGATGACGAAAATAGGTTTTTGAGATTTTTTGACAAATTAATTAATAATCATCTCTACGTCACGATAATAATAATATTATACTGTACTGGAGCACTGCAAGTCGAGATTGGACTGTTTTTTGAGATCGGTTCCATTTACCGACTGTCAGTCACGTTCCGTTTCTCTAACGATCGACTGGCAGGCAGGCTTTAATACAATATATATGTGTGCACGCGGTTATAACGAGACCGACTTGAGGGTTGTTCATTCGTAAACCGCACGCCGTTTGAGCGGACACAAAACATCTGCACTGACGATAATATTGCGGTATATACCGCGGACGTGTGCGTCGGCGACGGTGGATTGAGTCTACCTGCCGCGTGCTTAATCCCTTTGTAAAGTCGCATTCATGGGGTAGGTACAAGCCGCGCCAACCTACATTATATTATACCACGGGGCACCCGGAGAGAGACGTGCACGTGCAGTTAGTCCTCTTGTCGTATAGTCATTGTTTCCGCGATGACGATCCTGACTTGATATTATATTTTATTTTAATACATTACAATATGATTTACTGCTTTAAATTAATATAATGGTCGAACGTTATCTGCATTAACTAGTGTTTTCGCATGTCTCCCGCCGGTTTTCCAGATGTCCATAGTTGTGGTGTCGAGTAGGTATATAGGTAGGTACCTATATAAACTCGTCTCGTCGTCGTTGGTCGGCCACGCGTCTCCTAATCAAAATCCGATCGCTGATTTTTGGCTAGATAATCTCCCTTCGTAATACAGCAACACAGAACATGTATTGTAAAATTCTTTTTTCTTTTATTTTTTTTTGCACGTGTCCAGCCCGAGCCACAATGTGTTTAGCAGAGTGTGCTACTCATCGAATTTGAGGTATAGATTTATATTATATAATAATAACGTTTACTACTCGTAGCTGGCCGTGGTATCCGACTGTGGTGATGTTTCTTATAATTACGGTACAAAAATAATATGTTTGCTTTCTTTACATGTTTACTTACCTGAATATTACGTGAAAAGTTTTTTTACCAACAAAATGTATTGCTAAAATATGAGAAACAATCAGTTTTCAATTTAGTTTTTTATTTCTTAAATGTATGCGTTTGTTCCAAAAAGTATGAAAATGTAATATCAAATATTTAAAATGAGTAAATTTCAAAATATACTTTTTAAAAACAGTTCAACTTCTTGTGAATAAGATACAGTATAAGCAATATTCTAAAACTATGCGAATATATTCGAAATCGATAAGTATGTCTTATGATATGCTTAACTATCGCCATCGCCTTGCTTACGTAGGTATAAATAAGTATATAATAATACATAATATAACGTATATCAATAAAAATATTGACATAGTTAGTGGCACAACTGCAGGGTAAAAATATTATGGAGTAAATAATTTATTTACCGAAATTGAAGTCATAGCATACTGGTTTGTTTTGCACAAGTCTTAAAAATCATTATATAGCTTTGAAATATAACTTAGCTATCCACATCGTTAAATAATATTAAGTGCAAAGTTTTCATCAATAAGGTACTACAACTTGTTGAAAAAACAAATTAGATACAATAGTTCTAAAAATGTTTGAAATAATGTTATTGTGAGTTATATTTGCAACTCAGATACGCGATACAAATAAACTTGTGTGTAATAATGTGAAGAAAAAAATATTTTTACCTTATAAATTAATTAAATATAAATCATGCAACGACTTTATAAATACATGTGTTTTTGCCAGATTGTTCTCGATAAAACGCTGCGCTCGGTGTCAGGGTGGTATCGGCGCTTGCGACCTAGTGATGAGAGCCAAAGATCTCGTGTACCACGTGGAATGTTTCGCGTGTTACGCATGCGGTGCGATCCTGTGCAAAGGTGACTATTATGGAGTACGGGACGGTGCCGTTTTCTGCAGGCCTGACTATGAGCGTCTCAAGCACAGGGACATGTCGTGTGATCTGGAGCCGATGTGCAGCCCGCCCAGGGCGGCAGGCCATCACTGGCCATCGGTACACAAGGGCAGACCTCGGAAGAAGAGAAACGTCCAAATGTTGTCGTCACCTATGGCAACGACCGATTGCAACGAGCTTACCGAACTCAATGTGCTCAGTATACCGCAGTCGACATTGGGTGAGTATTGTCAATACGTTATCGAATCAGTGATATAGGTCGAAATTATTACGTAGCTATACCTTCTAAATAATTATGTTCTCTTAAAACCATAAACAATATTATGCTTTATTGTCAATTTGTGTGTTTTTAAATAAAATTCATTTTGGAGGGTTGTAATAAATTATGGTTGTATGTATCAATGTATGAAATTATAAACCTTTGAGTTGACCAATATTTGTGTCTTTATAATAACGCCATTTTACGACTGGTTATTAATTAATAAAGAACTACTTACATTTTTCCATCTTTTAATCTGATAAAATAAAATAGTATTTTGATAAACTGTGGTGTTTTTTTACGACGACTGTGACAATGGTAAATTTATCGTTATCGGTCATTTTAACTCGTAGTGAAAAACTCAATATCCGATCATTTTTAACAAATAATACCTATGTAGGTATATCGTATGTGCTTATAGTTTAAAAATGTAAACAAAGCTACGCGCACACTAAAATAGATTAAGACATCGTATACAAATATATTATGGTAATATGTCACGCCGAATCTATGAAATTGCCGATTTCATGAAATCAACAACGCTGCTTCCGAAAACGGGAAATCGGAACATTTTTATTACTGATTTCATGAATTAGGTAGGCAGACTCTTTCTTGCAGATTGCATGTAGTCGGTAACACATTATTATGACATATAATAATTACAGCCTGTAGAAATAACCAATAATCTTATTGTGCGCGTAATGCTCATTGGCATTACCACACCATTACCTTTAACCGGGCGTCAGTCGCACCGCGGTCATTTCGATCGCGTTTTAATTTTCATCTATGTCACTGTTCCTCGTCGAAAGAAGGGATTCTGAACACGTGGCTGGAGCGGAACGGTTCGGCTGCTACTGATTACTGTTCCCTGACGACTGCAGACGTTCAACCAAATGAATATCCTTCACCAAAACTCGTTTGATTAGGGTCTGCAGTTGGGACGATCGAACAAGGATAATGACGTTGTACCTGCCGTACGAATTGCACATCAAAAAAATGCACGTGTAGCAAAAATGACACGATGTGTAATTCGACGCGCCGCCCTGTCCGTAGTTGCCAAAACGTATTGATATAAACATACGTTATAATCTAACACACTAAATATAATTGTATAACTTTCGATTTTTATTGTTTTATTTTTTTATTATTATTATTGTTTTTTTTTTTTTTTCATGCACATAATTTATTATTACAATTAGATTTTATTATAATTTCAGTGTTTCATGGTTTCATGTAAGATCATGAATATAACACATTCACTTATATTGAATTATTTCTATAATTTTTTTAAAAAGAACCTTGTCGATTTCACGCATTTGGCAGTATTAAGTACTATTAAGTTACCGATTTCGTGTTTTCGACAACAATGTTGCTGATTTGATAAAATCGGTAATTTCATAAATTCAGCGTAGCGGTAACATATATATATATATATATATATATAAAATCATTTCTATTTAAATAAAAAACAGTAAATATTCTTATGTATTTATTTGCTATATTTACTAAAATATATGTAATATAAAAAAAATTATGCCCGCTATGCTTTATTATGTCCTTCAAGTACATGTAAGATATTTTTTAATATTCTCTAAAAATATGTTTTATATAATTATTTAAATATTAGATTAATTTTTGTACTTCCAATAATGTAAGTTCATGATCAACATTTGAACTAAATTGATCTATTTATACACCAAATACTTTAAACTATTGCATCCTCTTAAATAAAAATCTAAAGTTACAGATTAAAATATCTATCTATTATTATTTAAATTTTAAATGTTTTCTATGTTGAATTCCCGAGACAGTCGTATTAAAATTATTGTACGTACCTTATTTAAATATCTTAATTTATCTTAACTAAACTTATCATCAATATGTATTAATTCAGTGAGGAAAATTATTTATAATTATTAATTCTCATTTATAAGACCGTACAATAATATTATACAATTAAATAAATTATCAAACTCAAGCACATAATTTGCCAACTATAAAATATATATTACGAATAATAAATATTTAAAATACGACCGTTATGAATATTGATCACATAAAATGAGACAAATTATCAAATGTGGTCGTGTTAAACGTATTAATTTATATACGACTTTGAACACATTGTATAATTCTACTTTGGTGGGCAGACTAACAAATGAAGTATACATTAGGCAAAAAACATAACTTTAATAGAGGTTTTATACATATATAAATGTTCAATTTCTCAATGCCAAACGAGTTTTTATAGAATTCACTGATTTTATATCATGTTTACTGTAAACCACATCCATATCACTAATCTTTGTCTGGCTCGAAATAACAGTCGTAGCACAAATAGTTTAAATATTACCTATTGAATCTCTTGTTACTCTTCGAATTTTGGTGCAATTAATATTCTTTTTTCTATTATTTATATATGACACGTTAAAAAAAAAATTAAAATATAAATCTTTGTTAAATTTATTTTTAGCATAGTTATGAATATTATGGTTTATGATGTTTTACAATATTTTTTAATTAAAAAAATAAGAATAAAATTAATTTAGAATATTACAAAACATGTTTAGACAAGTACCTATAAAAAAATGACATGTACCTGAAAAACTGAATTCTATTAACTTTTTTTTAAATATCTCGTTTAAGTCCAAGCAATAATTATTTGCGTGTATGTCATTAATGTTATTTTAATTATTATTTAAAATTCCAAATGAGAACTTTTAACACTGTATAAAATATATAGCGTATTGTTATTAATCACACACAATATTTTTAATAGGTATAAATTACGGGTATACTTCATAAATGTTTAAATAAAACGTGAGATACTCGCATAGTACTTAGGCAAAACGTCATATTCTAACTTTTATTCGTGCTAAGCTAGTTGTAATTTTATCATTTTATCATAGCCGAAGCAACTTTATCTATTTAAAATATTTCACAATAGGCCTTACATTTTTTAAATATTAAGTACATATAAACAACGATAAAATTAATATAATTTTACTACACTATAGTAATCATAGTAATATAATTTTTATTTTAAAAATTTTTAAATAAAACAAAAAAAAAAAAAAATCATACACTAATTTATTATTATCGAATAAATTGATGAGACAAGTATAAAATGGTGCATAATAGAACATTTCAAAATAAAATTATATTTTTGAGATATTTATATTTTATTTGTTTATTTACATTAAAATTATTTTATTATGTACTAGTGTATATTATAAATTTATAAAGATGTGAAACATTCAAATGTATAGTTGTTACTGTTTTTTTTTTTTTTTTAGTGATATTGGCTACCATTAAATTTTTCCAGTTATTTCAATGTTTAATTTCTGTCCAAGCATTGTAGGACTTTTGAATTTTGATCGTGTATTTCTGAGGTATGCGCGTTTCAACATTTGCCTTTAACATATTATTTATTACAGTATTTATTTTTGATATTCAATAAATTAATTTTCAACATGATGAAAAACACAGTGATTGAAAAATGTACTATAAATCAAAATCACCATTAGGTTACAACATTATAATTTATTTTATTATATATTCAAATTGGATAACGTTAAATAATTAACTCTGCGTGAATCATAAATTGCAAATTAAATCTTACATGATATACAAAATATTTAAATTTCAATAAATTAATATGGAGGGGGAACGATAATTTGTTAGTAGCTAATTGAAAATCAACGCGATGCGATGCACTTAACCGTGGTATATTAGGGTTCGTAGAACGCGCTGCAGACGAGGTGACGAACAAAATGTTGACAGAGGTATGGAAGGGAAGAAGAATTTTTTCTTTTATTTTTTACCTACATCGGTGTGCGCATATACATATATAAACAAATACGTACATACAGCGATATAAATCACGTAACGTTCGGAAATAAATTTAACTCGCGTTCGGTGGCAAAGACGTATTGGCCTTCTGCGAAGAACGCATGTGAACTCACTATAGTTGGCGCTCGTCCGTTCCAACCAATACCTATTTATACAGAGCAATTCATCGAGCACTCTCAACCTCACTTTATCCTTCAATTATGTGTTTATTTAAATAACTCTGATTTGTTTTAATTTTAAAATCTATACTTGAAAACCATACTATAATTTCAAATTAATAGATTTTTATGGTATAATTTAAGAAATGCCCAAATACAAACTTCTTTTTCACAAAACAAAAAATCACCTTTCATCATATATATTTTTAAATAGATATTGTTTTTGAAAACGAATAAAACATAATACGAAGCTAATATTTAGCCAAATATACGATTTAAATACTCAAAAATTGTTCACAAACTATTAAAAAATGATTATTCCAAGTACATTAATTACATAATACAAAAATGATACATTTTTCAAACCTTGCTAGAACTTATGAATAAACCGTTCAAAATGTGATAAAATTATTTATGAAATATAGTTTACTGGCAAAAAAAGTTGTTCTTATTTGATTAAAGTAATCATTAGAATTTTATAAAATCTACGTATACTATACAATTCCGAAAATTGAAATTGGAATAAACGATATTGAACGGTTGTTAATGTATTATATATGTGTGACGTTTCTTCAGTAAACGAAAAATCACTTTTGTGTACTTATATTATTATATATTGTTTATTTATAATATTGTGTGCGCCCGCTTGTGTAGTATCAACGGAGGCGATAAGTACGTATAATATATATTGTAAATAACAGAACACGAAATACTATATAATATACAGCCGCAACGCACACATACTGAAATACTATGTATTATATTTTATTTTTATTGGAGATGGTGCCACCATGATGTATATTATATATTATAGTGTACCGGAGGGATGGTGTGTCGTATAATAATAATATATTATCGGCGAGAGACTGGAAGCGAAGATTGTATTTTTTTATTTCTTTTTCATGTCTCTTTCCGTCTATCTTTCTCTCTATATGTATATATATATTATATATATATATATATACACATATATACACATACACACCCGGTGGCTTTAAGATAGAAACCGTGTCGTCGTCCCCAAGACGATTTATATGCAAGTGCTTACACACACATACTCTCGCGCGATCGTTGGTTTTTATTTTATTTTACTCGGTCGTCGCGCGTAGGAGCAGCAAAAACTTATTTACACTCTTGGAGACCCGAGACGACGACATTATAATAATATACGATTTTACACGGAGCGTGTGTTGTCGCACCTCTAATTGGACGCCGCCGGAGGCCACCCAGAGGACGATCGCCGCCGCGAGCACCCGGTAGCAACGCGCTACCCCGCGTGCAAGTATTCTTAACACACACACACACACACACACACACACACATTAAAATATTATTCAGTCTTATCGGCACGTCCTCGTTATAATAATAATATATTTCATCCCCTGCTGCCGCCACCTCTTCCTATTCGGAAGGTTTATTAACATGTTATATATATATAGAAACCGTTCGGTGTCAACGAAAAACGAACCCTTTCGACGGAACCCAATTAAAATTTAATATAGTCCTACTGCGGGGGCTTCCGCAGGAATGTATAATATTATATCGTAAGTAGATATATATATAGAAGGTACTCACGTTAATTTTATTACTGAAAAAACAACAACTCATATATCATCTACATATAATACAGAGTGATTCACTAAACATGCTCTTCCTCGTGTTCCAATTTAATAATGAATTTATTTAAATCCTGATTTTTTGAATTCTTTAATATAATGAATAACTATGTTTTTAAATTCTTGAGATTTTTTTTATACGTCGTAAGGGGTGATACATAAGTACTTATGGTTTTTTTTCAAATAAAAATCTAATACTCCTTTTTACTATAAACTTTTTAAAAGATTATTTTTTTTTTTTTAATTTTAATGTATCTAATTCAAAATTCAAATGTGCAGTTTTTTAACAGTTAAAATGTTTATAGGAGCTAAGAATAATAATCCTTAAAAGTGGTTTTACAAAAGTATAAATTAAATGTAATATTGAATTTAGTACTTATTATAGTTTGACCATATTAACAAATTTTAAAATACATAGACAAATTAATTTTAATTACTGTGACCCTTATATTTATCTATCAAATTCAATATTAATGAATCTATGATTCTTATTACATAAATAAATTGTCTCAACAATCATCTAAATAATAAAAAATAAAAAAAGAGATGGTCATCTGAAAAAAAAAACAGAAAGTTCATAGGACATATCTTATTTAAGTTATACAAAAAAATCATAGCCTAATTTAAAAATGATTATTAAATATACTTAATAATTTAAAAAAAAAAACATGTTTTAAAAAAAAAGGTAGTGAGCGTGCTTGGCGAATCATCTTGTATACTACACTAACCTACACAAACGTATATAAAAATAATTATTATGAATAAAATACACAGATTTATATAGGGTATACAGGGTGGGTCAACACGTATTTCTGTTATTCTATATTTACTAAATTGTGAAATAAGGTGACCTGGGCTCTGTATAATACCTATTATACACAAAATAATATATACATACATATTATTTTATTATACTAGTAACGTTAACATCTAAATGATAATACATTAATCGAACGATATCGTGTGGGATCCGAGATGTCACAAGCCACGTCTAATGTGTTTTGGTACTCGTATAGTTGTTTGAAGGTTAGGTATTCATTATGAAATCAAGTACATTTTTATTTTGTAATGAATGTAATCAATAATTCTGTTCTTCAAAATATTATGTTTCGTTAGTAAATTAAATTTATATATGTATATATTCTAGACAGCTAGTTGTATTTGATTATTTATTTTAGATTGTTATGATAAACATTCCCCTGAAATTTGATAAATTAGATTATTGTATATAACTATAATACTTATTAATCATTTATTTTTTTTAAATATAAATAATATATTATTAAGTGTTAAAATATGCACTTATATGCATAACAAATTTAAAATATTATGTAAAAAAAAAAATAAAAACAATTGTAGAATCTACTAAGCAGTTTTTGTGATACCACTTATAATACTAATATTTATATTAAATTACCTGTAAGTAATACAAATTTAAATATATAATAAATATAATATAATATAATTGAATAGTAAATTATGTAATTTCGCGTAACTCTGCTGCCAACTCCTTTTCACGCATTATCATGTTATATATACTTATCAGTATTAATAAATGTACTTATTTTACAGATTATTTTATAGATTCTAGAAAAAAAAAAATATAACGAAAAAAATATATAGTTAATATTTTAAATTTATGTTGTATTCTGCAAGTGTTTTATAAACTACCATACTTTAAATATTACGTATTGATCATAAAAATATATTTTTACATCAAACTAACTATTGATTAATTGAAATAACTATCAAAATATATTCACTAGAAATGTTAATGATTTCATAGATAGTGGTTTCAATCGTATTTTATACTTAACCCTTTAATTCTGAATAAACAATAAGATTAACTATAAAAAAAAAAAAAAAAAAAAAAAACAAATACATAAAAGTTCTCGCATTAATTATTACCATATTAACAATTTTTAGTGATCAAAATATTAAATGTTAATTATTACTAATTAGTGTTGTAAAATATATAGTTTTATCTCATGACAAGTTAGATTAGGTTTATCAATAACTTTATTGTGAATAATGATAAATAAAGATAATTTTTAGATTGTTTATATAATTTTTAACAACGTTAAAGGTCTCTTCGTTAAAACAATTTTTATACAGTGTTCAAACTGTAATACCGTACTTGCATATATTGCTGCGTGTCATAATATGATAAACTTTGTAGTATTTTAAATGAGTGTTCAATGTATCTACATTCATAGGTACAAACTATAACTACAACAAACCAGGCGTATGTACTTTTCTATACAAATTGTATCAAAAAACTTTTGAATAACCAAATAGATCCAATTCGACCGTGTAAACTTGTGTATATATGTACACACTTTGTCTAAGTCCAATAGCAATAACAATGGAGGCGACGTGTATAAATTATATATACATGAACGAAAGTACGATGTGGGACTGTCAACAAGCGAGTTGACATAAAAACACCACCTCCAAACGATTTCCATTCGTCGTTGGTAGATATAACGAGATGTCATTGAAAAAAAACCATTTCTAAGCATTTCTCCCCTCCTTCCTTTTCACCATCACAACTACCCTTGTTTCTTTTCTTTCGCTCTCCATTCTCTCTCTCTTGCACTTTTTTTATTCTGTATACATTTCCCGACCCGAACGCGTCGTCAATAGTTGTGCCCATTAACCTAAGGCCAGTGTTTGTGTCGAACAAATGTTTTCTTTCCCAAGCACACTTCTTATGCGCATTGTTTATTTTGGATTATTTCGCCGATGTGGGGCACCTGTCCGTCATTCGTCACTAAAGTATACAGTATACACATATATACAACATTCGTTTTATTTCCGTACGAGTTCAAAAAAAAACTGTACACCTACACGTATGATATGCCATATATAAATATACATAAAAAACGAAAAGAGAAAAAGCGTGCAGAGAGAGCGTTTGACTGAGAGCGAGGGGGGGTAGTATACAAAGTATACAAAAAGAGACGGGAGTTGAGAGAGAAAAGTATATATGACGTATACGTTCTGCAAACAATGGACGCCCCCGTGCCATCCAGATGTCGATACTCGTGGAGAAAGGGGATATAGGTTCCTGCAGCAAGTCCTGCAAGACCATGTGCAGTGGTTAAATGACGTTTCCTGCAGCTCTTATAGTGCACTAGTCCACCTAATAAGGAATAAATTACTGACCGTAAGTCAGTTTTTTTCTTACTTTTTTAAAATAATATGATAGCGGATATAATATAAACACATTGAACACATGTGTACATAGTACATACCTTTACATGACATAAAATATAATATATTATATTATCTACGACATGCGCTTTGTGTACTCTATTCATGCCAATTCATTTTTTTTTTCTAACGGTAGACGTAAGATCTCGATTTACACGCGTTACTTGATCAAATTATAATATACTCGGATGATTGTGTATATATATATTTGACTCATTAACATAAATTCGACTAGAGTTAATTAGTCTAACATCTAAATAATATAGCATAATACAAGGTGCATTATATATTTTATGATTAAAAATATAAGTTCTTGAGTAATAATTATAAAATTACATTTTTTTTTATACAGGAATAATATATAGTTTTATAATCTGATTTACAATTCTAAACAATTATCACTTACTAAGTATAATATTATTATAATAATGCAAATTGTTTTTTTATTTAAAACAAAAATACTATTTTTAACTAATATAACCTTATCTATTTGTATTTATTATAACAAAAGATATTACGTAGATTACATTTTTAATGCATAATTCCTAATTCAAAAAGTTTGAATATAAATTTTTTATAATATTATTAGTAATTGAACACTGTATGTACTTAATAAAATACATTCATGATTTTAAAATATATTTTTTTAATAGAAGTCATGCAAGCCACGGACTTATCTTCTTCGATGGAATCATTAACTTACGAAACATCCAGCTTATCGTCGCCCACAAACTCTTCGACGATGGGCACTACCGGTGGTATGTCACAACAGCAACATCAGCAAACACGAACGAAACGCATGCGAACGTCATTCAAACACCACCAGCTGCGTACAATGAAGTCGTACTTCAACATCAACCAAAACCCAGACGCCAAAGACTTGAAACAGCTGGCTCAAAAGACTGGACTGTCCAAACGAGTGTTACAGGTAAGATAAGACGATTTGTCAGATTATGTTATTAATTTTATAATATGTAGGAACAACAATAATGTTAACAATAATGATATAATGTAAACATTACATCTCGCTTATATAGGTTTGGTTTCAAAACGCTAGAGCAAAATGGAGAAGAAACATTATGAGGCAAGAGAACAACCAAATGGTAACCAATTCCATGTTGAATCAAAATCAAACTACGCCGTCCGACCCCGACCTCATCAGGGGACACACCCAGACCTCGCAGGGTTTGAACTTTGTAGATCTCTTTTAATTTCACACGTAAGTCGTAGTTCTATTTGTTAAAGCATCACCATCATCATCACAGTGTTCTGTATCATCTTCGACCAGTCCAAGCACGCGTTAGGCGTATCTGAAGTTAAATATAATCGTGTCCAACATCAAAACATTTGACCCTTCCTTAAGGGTATCGTTTTTTTTTTTTTTAAATCTAATAAATAAAATTCTGATAATGATACATAACTATCCTATTATGAACGGGTGCGTGGTGTTACAATAATTGATCGTATCAATTTGGGTATATATACAAATGATAAATCAATACAATATTAAATTATATTACAATATTCTTACAAAATAATTTGTGTACGCATTGTATGTAGTAATACGTTACTATGGCCAACTGGAAATTATAATTAATATATAATATTATGTTTAAGTGATTATAAGTTTCAGAAAGAGAAAACAATTGTTCCTTAACTTGATGTATTATTATTACACTCTTTGTTATAAATATATATATATATATATAATATATGTGTGTGTGTATACGCATACATATTACATATGTATTTATAATTTGTAATCCGTACATTGTAACATATTATTATTAATTAAGTTTAATACGTATATATTATTATTATATGTTAAACATGCATGTTATTTGAGCTGCCTATTCGCGTGCGGCGTATACTCAAAGGTCGCTAAACACTCGCAATTAATATTATATTATGTTTCCTTTTATGCTTGAATAAAAAAAATAATATTAATTGAATAGTTGCCCTAATTAGTAATTAGTATAAACGACTCGTAAAAAATTAAGTATACACCGCACGGTAAAGACTGACAATAATAATGCTTACACGACACGCCTTGGCTGAGAAGTTATAAAAAAAAAAAAAAACCCTTATCACTTTGTCATATAATCCATTTTTTTTTTTTACAAATCCAATAATTTTCAACATATAATATTTTTATTCATTATGTCATGTATTATAGTATTACACCCCAAAATCATTAACTAATCGCGTACAAACAAATTCAAACCATTTTATTGCAAAAACAAGCTAATTACCGTATCATAATAAATTTAATATTTATACTGTCAATTTATATGACAATTTAACGAGTATGTATAATACATGGTTGTTCTTTATCTGTGATAGATAATTTTGGCAATATGAAAACGATTATTTATTATTCTCTGAATAAAATTTAATACATTCAAACAAAGGTAACAAAATTATTAAAAATATTTTAACAATTTTTTTAACAAATTAATAATCAATTTTTTTTTTTTAATTAATTGATAATTTAACAGTTATTATTATTTTGTTCAATTATCAAACTATTATATCCAGTTTAAAATAAAGACTAAAATATATTATCATAATCAGTCTACAAGAACCGCAAGTGCGTTTTATTAATCTCGTTTACATGAATTTTTATTTGCAAGTGCATTGACCAAGTGTAGTAGGTGTATCTATGTAATATAATGAAACATAGAAAAATAATTAGATATTTTAATTTTCTGTGTAATTGTGTAGTCCATAAAAATATTAAATACTTAATAACGTAAAAAATATAACTTCAAAGCCAAAGGTATCGTAATATCAACTATAATATATTGCATCATATTATAAGAGGAAGAGGTTTGTTATAAATCCTGTTATTGTTTCGGGCCAATATCTTTATTGCTTACAACTTACAACACATACAGATAAGCTATTCCAAAGCAATTGATCTTATTAAATTCTAGTCAAATTATTATTAAGTATTTTAACTATATTATATAAAATTGAATAAAATACAATATTATTATATTATTAGTCAATATTTTAGTGTTTAATAGTAGATAGATCCGATAACAATATCGTTATTATTATATAATTTTATGATATAAACTTCTAGGAGATTATAAATATAATAATAATTATTATTATTACATTATATACGTGTGTGTAATTATATTATAATGTCTATAAAAATTATGTTCTTTTTTTTTTTGTTGAAAAAATATATATTAAAAAAATTAAAAAAAATAATTTTAATAACTTTAACAAAAACGTGTTCTTTTTCGTATTTATTACATTACTTTTCACATACCTACCTGGCTTACTATTGACGTACCTCGTCTAGAATCTATAAACATATCTTTTTTAAATTAAAATATTTATTAACTCAAAATTATTTAACGTTTTGTGTACGATTATTTTAAGTAATTTTAAATCATTACACAACAATATTTTTGAAAAAAGTTTATTTACTATCTTTGTTTTTTTTTTAATTAACAGTATTCATTTTTAAATTAATATTTCTAAAAAGAAAAACTTACTGAGTAGATCTAATTTAAATCGAGTAGTTTATTAGTTATGACTTATAACTTATAAGTATTTTAAGGTTTTGATAAATAAATAACAGCCACTCCATTCCACTCATCAAAACCTTTAACAGGTGCTTGTAACTAATTTATTAGGTACTCGATTTTTGTGTATTAAATGTATTTGAAAAATATTTTGCTTTGAAACATAAAATAAAAGATTTTAATAGTGTTTCAAAAAGTAAAAAAAAAAATCATAAAATTATAACAAAACATTTATAATTTTTTCAATAATTTTGTTCTGCGTATTAATGACTCCAAATTATACATATATAAAAAAAAAAACAATATTCCTAAAAATATTGATGAAACGTATTTTATTTATCTTTAAAAGAGACTATATAATACTATTTATACATAATATAATATGTTTTATAATTCATGTGTACGGTTAAGTTAAGTCTTGTGACGTTCTGTGAACTACTCAAAACGTCCGTACACGACAATCGATATTATTATTATCGTTGTATTGTTTTGAATGAAAACAGGCGTGAGAACCGTATAATATTATATTTATTTTCTTCATAAATCTATACTCGTACATAGTATTGAACTACACAAATAACGGCACTGTTCGTCGTCGGTGAGACTCCTATTCTATCGCAAAGCATACTCAGATTGGTATACAAATAATAATATCTCTCTCAGATATTATTGACTATTGTTAATACAATATTATAATTTATAATCACTGCTTAGGACTTTATGTATAAATTATAAATTTATATGCATAAATATTTCCTTTTGGCTAAAGTGAATTTTATTACAGAAATTTCATTCGATACGGGTTTCTATTGTACAATGTCTAGTTTTCAAATATCTACAACTATAAACGTAGATGTTTACATATTTTGGTTTTTTATTGTGAATATATGAATTTTTGTTGTAAATACTTTTTGATTTTTATTAAATATAATACTTCATAACTTTTTTAATTTTTCAAATAATTTTTGAGAAAAATCAAATTTTTGAATAAAATAGAAAGCCAATATATTTTATTTTCTTAACGTGATAATGTGATATTAAACTAATATTCAACATTCTTAGTAATATTTTGATATAATAGATAGATCTAATAGGACTATATACATTTCTCCCTCTATATTCCATATCTAAATACCACTATCCACTATCTTAAATTTAATTAAAAATTAATGAATGCAAAATTAGTCACATCCAACTATTCAAGTTAATGATAACTATAATACACTCTGTCAATCACTGTAAACTCACCACGTAGTCTTTTCCTTGCATTTTCCATAAAATATTTCCAGATAAAATTTATACCTTGAATAATACAATAAACTCCATGTTATGACAATTTTATAATAAATACAACCATGAAATATTTTTTTTTTCAACAACCGCAATATTCCATTAGCATACAACCCACCGCCACTGTATTCATACTTTATGCACCATAGTATACACTTTTTAGGTACTACATCACTACACCCTAACATATATAGGTACTTATTATATACTCTAATTCACAAAACATGCTCATCTTTTTCTTCTTCTTTAATTATACATTTATTAAACTCTGATTTTTGGAATGTTTTAATGTTTTATTCACTAAAGACCATATATTCAAATTCTTGAGATTTTGTACTTTTTAAAAGATATTCTTTGGAGATACAAACTTCTGTTCTGTAAATGAGAACTCCCCTTTTTTACTGTAAATTATTAAGCAGATAAATTTCCTTTAAATGTTGACGTATCAAAAATCTAAATTTAAACTAGTGTTTTTCGAGTTTTTAACTTTATTTATTTATAAGGATTAATCGGTCCAAATAATAGGTTTAAACAATGTAGGGGCTATGGTAATATTTAACTTAAAGTATCTAATTAATATTAACCTATCAACAGTTATAACTTGTTAAAATTACCCATGTTGTGTAATAAATAAATACTAGACACAAAACATTTATTTTAGATTTTTGTAATACCATTTTTAAAGGCTTCTTCCTTAATATAAATATTTGAATAACTACAACACTGCTCATTACAATTTTCATTATGTAGATACAAAATGTTCATAAAAAAATATTCAACTAAACAATTTTCAGTAAAAATGGTGGCACTCCTTTCAAAAACAGAAGTTTGTACTCACAGTTTGAGAATACTCATTAAGTAGGTAATACAATAATCTCAAGAATTTAAAAATAATCTTATATTTATAATTATGGTCTTTAGGTGCATTAAAAAATTCTAAAAATTACAATTTTATCACATATATTGCCATAGAAAAATATAGGGATGAGCAAGCTTAGTGATTCACCATATATTACACACATAGAATTATGACACGCGTATCGTGTAAATGTAATATTATTATTCTTTGTGTTAAAAACGCACAGAGTTCGAGTGCCACGGCGTGCCCAAGCATTCATGTCGCGCCCCCGTATATACGTGATTTTGCGTGTGAACACCTTTACCATTGAATAATATATTATATTATAAAAAAATAATCTTTATCAGACGACCGTTGCACAATAATTTGTTATCTTCACACTCTTATCTCCATGTGTATAATATGTAATTCGTTTAGCATAATATTATAACAATAATAATAATATTTTGTGTCACACGGTCCTGGCGGTATAATATTATTATTATTATTATTATTATTATAATGATTTCAATCCTGCAGCATACTACCGACCTTAGATTGCGTACTACACCATATAATGAATATGCGTGTATTAAATAGTGGCACGTAATATGTGTAAATCGTAGTTTACGTCATTATTAAAAGGTGACCACATTTTTTCTTCTCGCTTTTGAGTTCGTTTGATGTACGCAGTATAACAATAATGTACTTGAAATCGATATCGAACATAAATAATAATAGCATTACGCACGTACATACTGGTTGGAAATTTTTTTTTTTTGGAAGGGAGGGTTGGAGGGCGTATAGTGATGGAGTTATATTTCAGCACCTTGCAGAGCTTTTCTTTAATTTTCTGTCTTAATATTTAATTTAATAAAACCAGTGTAGTAGGTATATGTGTTATTTTATTTGTGTACACGTAGATTTTCTAAAAACCTAGAAATAAGAACATTACTTCTCTAAGATA